GCAACACAAGGACACATCAAGAACAAACGGTTCATACTTTACATACCTGATCACAATGACCAGTTCACCTTGGAGAGACCCATGAGGAAAACGCATTAGACTTATTAGATTTAAGCATGTTTATTGATTGAGCATGTTTGGCGCCCTAGGCCCGGGCGGGATGCTGTTGAGCACGGCGCTTGCTCGCGTGCATGATCCCCCCGGGGCCTAGGCACTGGTGACGGCAGAGGCAGTAGGCAACACGCTTCATGCGAGAAGGAGGAGGTGGGGCGGCGGCGGCTTGCAGACTTCAGAAGATCGGGAAGTGGGCGTCTCCGGCTTTTAACTTGCTGTCCTGGTGGTTATTGGTTGACTGGGTGTGGGCGTTGCTGGTATTGATGAGTCGAGGAAGAGCAGCCTGTGGCCTGGCAGCAACAGCCGGGTCTACCACGGTGAACTTTCGCGAAAGCTCCATTTCACCTTGGAGAGACCCATGAGGAAAACGCATTAGACTTATTAGATTTAAGCATGTTTATTGATTGAGCATGTTTGGCGCCCTAGGCCCGGGCGGGATGCTGTTGAGCACGGCGCTTGCTCGCGTGCATGATCCCCAAAAAGCGGGCCTGCGATTGGGATAGCAGGACGCACTGCGCAGGCCTGAGAGCATGAGCGAGCTGAGAACATGCGCGCACGCGCATGTTCAGCCAGCCGCTGTAGCAGAGGAATCTTTGAGCAAACTGAGAACATGCGCGCACGCGCATGTTCAGCCAGCCGCAGCAGAGGAATCTTTGAGCGAACTGAGAACATGCGCGCACGCGCATGTTCAGCCAGCCGCAGCAGAGGAATCTTTGAGCGAACTGAGAACATGCGCGCACGCGCATGTTCAGCCAGCCGCAGCAGAGGAATCTTTGAGCGAACTGAGAACATGCGCGCACGCGCATGTTCAGCCAGCCGCAGCAGAGGAATCTTTGAGCGAGCTGAGAATATGAGCGCACGCTCATATTCAGCCAGACGCTGAAGCAAGGAATCTTTGAGCGTTTGAGGAAAGTGCGTGCCGCCACCAGAATCTTATTGCTTACTTGCTTTGCTGGGAGCTTACGAGGAAGCCGGTAGACGTTGTGCTGCCATGATAGCGGTCGCATCTGGCCTGATGTAGGTGGAGAAGCCGAAGAGGACCAGCGCCCCAGCTGTTGCAGAGAAGAGTGGGGGAGCCCCAGCGAGGTCGCGCGCGTGGCAGCGCCTATCCTGTGGCAGCGCCTATCCTGAAGGAGTGGGCTGTATAGAGCTGGGGAGACAAATTGCAGACTTCAGAAGGAGCAGTAGTGATCTTAGTCGAGCTCTGAACCAGGTTGCTGTCATGGGAAGAGTGTCTGGAGTGAGAAAGAGGTCCGTTAAGATTTCCTTTTTGCAGCGGAGGCGAGTGTAACGCATCATGGACCTGTAGGGGCAGAGAGATGTGTCCGAGCGAGCTGTTACTATATTGCAGGCTCCTTGATTTTTGAATGTTTGAGACGGAGGTTGAAATGGTCAGGGGACATTATGTTGGGTGAAAAGAGCGACCTTTGTGTAATGCTTCCACTACGTCGAGATTATCCCACGTGACAGAGATCCTCTCTCTGCCACGCGTGATTCCACAGCGCGCAGGCCACGACCACTGGGAATATCACGTGTAGGGCAGAGGAGATGCTCCGGTGGAAAGTAGCGGCCACGCTCGGCAACCAGTGGTCCTGGAAGAATCCCCCAAAAACCCACGGAAGGGGCAGCGTCCGTGTAGAAGCGGAGACCTGTAGGGGCAGAGACATGTCGGAGAGGGCCATTGATGTTGCAGGCGCCCTTACGCTTGAAACCTTGGGTTGGAGAGTAGATAATCAGGATAGTGGATGGTCGGGAAAGCCGTGTTCCGGACCGCATGAAGGTTGAGTGAGCAATGGTGAAACGCTTACGCAGAGAAGCCATAGAAGGAGAGCAGGAAGATGCTGCGAGGAGGGCGGACATGTACTTGGGAGATGAGCCGGAGTTCAGCGCCGCTGCAGGATGGACAGCATGATGGGGAGCCTGCGATCAGAAGAGTGAAGAATACAGGTATGGATGCCTTTGATTAGGAGTCCGATTGACGGCTCAGCGCAGCTACTCGGCCAGCTGCATCTGATAGAATCAGAAGATTAAGTAGAGAGATGAAGCATGACCGCCGAAGCGACCCTGGGAGCATAGGTGCGAGTCCAGCGCAGCGCGGCATGCTCAGCCGGGCTGCAACCATTAGAAGCAGGATAAGCTTCTGAGAGAGTGGGTTGCAGCAGTAGCAGCAGCGGCAGCAGCAGTAACCTCAGAAAATAACGGCAATAGTCCTGTATCAAGCCGCGACGGTAGCAGCAACAGCAGCAGCAGCAGCAGCAGCAGCAGCAGCGTCCTTAGAGAATAACAGTAATATCCTGTATCAAGCCACAGCAGTAGAATGTTGTAGTAGCTGCTCAGTGTTTCAGTAAAAGAGATGCAAGTGAAGAGATGGCAAGGTAAGTGAAGCAGCAGCAGCAGTAGTAGCAGCAGTAGCCGTATGAAGCAGCAGCAGTAGCAGTAGCAGTATGAAGCAGCAGCAGCAGTAGCAGTATGAAGCAGCAGCAGCTGCAGCATCCGTCGATAATAGCAGCAATAATCCTGTTTCAAAGCCAGAGCAGTAGAATAAGTTGTAGCTGTTTAGTGTTTCAGTAAAAGAGATGCAAAGTGAAGAGAGATGTCAAAGTACATGAAGCAGCAGCAGCAGCGCAGCAGTAGCAGCAGCAGTAACGGTAGCAGTATGAAGCAGCAGAAGCAGCATTAGCAGTAGCAGCAGTAGCAGTATGAAGCAGCAGCGGTTGCAGCATCCGTAGATAATAACAGCAATAATCCTGTATCAAAGCCAGAGCAGTAGAATATTGTTGTAGCTGTTTAGTGTTTCAGTAAAAGAGATGCCAAGTGAAGAGAGATGTCAAGTACATGAAGCAGCAGCAGCACGGCAGCAGATGCAGTATGAAGCAGCAGCGGCAGCAGTAGCAGCAGTAACGGTAGCAGCATGAAGCAGCAGCAGCAGCAGCGGTTGCAGCATCCGTAGATAATAACAGCAATAATCCTGTATCAAGCCACCGCAGTAGAATATAGTTGAAGCTGTTTAGTGTTTCAGTAAAAGAGATGCGCAGTGAAGAGAGGTGTCAAGTAAAGAAGCAGCAGCAGCACGGAAGCGGTAGCAATATGAAGCAGCAGCGGCAGCAATAGCAGCAGTAGCGGCAGCAGAAGCAGCAAGCAGCAGCAGCACAATGCGATTCATACGAACAACAGACGTGTCACGCCAGCGTGCGCCGCTTGTCTCCGTGAGCCAGGTTACATACGTGTCTGAAGAGCCGAGCCGTAGAGACAGGTGCAGCCTGGGAGCCTGCGGAGCGGCAGCGGCAGGAACAGCAGCAGCGGCACATGTAGTAGTAGGAGCAGCAGGAGCAGGCAGCAGGGACAGGCAGCAGCAGGAATAGGCAGCAGCGGGATCAGGCATCAGTAGGAACGGCAGCAGGGACCGCAGCAGCGGCGGTCAGAGAACCATGCCCACGGTTGTTTAAGAGCCTGAGGAAATAAATCAACCCGAATCCGAAACATTCCCATGCGAGAACAGATGTCCCCTGGAGCCATCTTGCTGCTTTGGTTATGGCAGATACGCATGAACGATCACTGATCCATGCGTTCATTAGCTCCAGCTCCACTTCAAACCCATTGCATATTCACATTGGGCCCCTTTTCTTTCTGCTGCACTTTCGAAATGCAACAACTGCAGTTTAGTTACCCAGTTTAATACTAGTGACCTAGCTATTTAAATGCATGGCCCCTCCTTCCTCCTGCAGATAGACGAATTTAAATACATCATTTAACAATAGTGACTTGCGAGTGATGAGATTGATGCTGTAAAGATGGCGCCGTGGCAAGAGCTCTGTGTGTGCCGTCTGGAGCACGATGGGGTAGTCTTTGCACATTTTTTCCAACGTGGTTTTACTGCAAGTGGCAGAACATGAATCTGAATTAATGCACATTGCTCCTCTTATATCCCTCAGACATTGGAGATTGATGCCATTTAAGATGCATTGTCCCTCAGTTAGCTCAACACGTGTAAAACGGAGCCTGCAGACCAAGCACGGGCGAAGACTGACGCCTGCAGTCAAGTGCGTAGGGCAAAAACCAGCCGCCTGCAGCCTAGACTCCGGGATTAAACTGTCCGCGGTCGGCACACTGACTGTACTCACATGCCAGGAGACTTGGGAAAGCAACGGGACAACGCGGCACCGCCAGTCGGAGGCAGGGACACGCACGGCACCGCCAGACCGTCTGCGCGCGGCAGCAGACCACGAGGAACGAGCAGCACAGAACCGCGGAGGGGCCCCGCGGAGCAGCCCGCAGAAGAGCCCGCAGAGGAGGAGAGCAGTGGGGATATGCGAACCACAGCAGGTGCAGGGACGCGGAGGAGGAGCAGACCATGAGCAGCCAGACTGAGGACAGCCGGGCCACGCGCACGAGCAACACGTGAGCAGAAAGCGACCCCTCCAGAACCACGCATGCATTTGCGAACAGGTGCGTTAGCGACATGCACCTTGCAGGCTTCAGAAGTTTGCAGACTTCAGAAGATCGGGAAGTGGGCGTCTCCGGCTTTTAACTTGCTGTCCTGGTGGTTATTGGTTGACTGGGTGTGGGCGTTGCTGGTATTGATGAGTCGAGGAAGAGCAGCCTGTGGCCTGGCAGCAACAGCCGGGTCTACCACGGTGAACTTTCGCGAAAGCTCCATATCTTTTCCTCTGAGCCTTTTCTCAAGACGTACTTCTCCTTCCTCTCGCTTCCTCTTTTGGCCTGAAGTCTCTGGGAGAGAGGAGGGCAATTGACTCTCCAAACTAAAAGAAACAGTATTTGTCAGTAGTAGAGCTTGTAGTTGCAGTTTTAAAAATGACAGTATTTTAAAGTCAAGTGTCAGACTAGGAGCTAACATAATAATATTTGAAAAAACATTGGCCAAATACTTACTGAGGCTTTGGGTGGTCAACTCTGGTAGGGAAGGATGGGTTGGTGAAGGGATGATCCAACACCTCCTGGGGGTCAATCCTGGAATATGGATCCATGTCCAGAAGCCGTTTCATGAGGTCCACAAAGAGATGTAGATCCCCACAGCCGTGTGGATTCATCTGAAGAGAACACAATGTCAGGCAGTATCTGTGCCTCACCGATAGGGGGCGATAATGAGCATGAAGTTCCTACCCGAGTTGCTATCAAACAATAAGTCCTATCAGTGATATTTCTTTTGCTGGAAAATGGATGATTTGATTGAGGATTTTTTTTCTCAACTGGACTTTCAATCAAAGCAAGCAATAATATAGACTGAGAGACCGCTGCTGGACTGACGGGGATAGTCCGGACGGGGGGGAGGAACTGTTAGTCTCTGTGTTTTATGTAGAAAATTCACTAGGTAGCTGCATAACAGTGCTTCAGTTCAAACACTGCTCAAGAGTTCTGAAACTTGTTACATTATAAGTTTCAGAACTTGTCAATTCTTGTTCATGTTCGTCGCGTCAATGTGACAGTGCATTGTAATGCTCAATGTATGCTTCTTACCATGAAAATATCCTCCAGTTTTCCAATGGGGCCTGGTCTCTTCATTTCCGCAGAAATACATGATGACTTGGACAAAAGAAAGACAATGAACAACTTAGTAGTGTTTTGGTTAAGAATAATATTCACTTATTTAGCTAATTTTGGAAACAAGAAGGAAAATAGGACAGGAGAAGAGAGCCAAGATTTGAGGGGGACACCCTCAAAACTATGGTTCAATTTTAACTGCAAAAAAGTCTGTTCCGTTGAAAGGGTCCATACCTTGAGAATCCAGTTCTGTTCATCATGACTACATAAGTACTTCCGTGTATGCAGACCTGAGTCCAGCACATGTCTGGGAGGCAGACCCAACATCTGGACAATCACTTCAATCTGTAGAAATGCAGTAATGTGTGTTAAAATCATATTTAATGGCAACTGCATGGACATCTTATTGAATGAGCTATGGGATTAAATGTAAATCCAAGATCCTGTGTTAAACATCAATTCATCATTACCCATAATCTGATCATTTTTCCGGTAAAGTTTCAATACATCGAAACAAAATATTTTCTAAATTACTAATTATTTTCTGTAGTTGCACTTGGAGTTCCAATAGTAGCAGTAGATGGACAACGTCTTTGAAAGCAGTCACACTCACCAGTTCACCAGAATTTCTGGCGTTGAAGAGCCGTTGTCCGAGGAACATCTTTGCAGCTATGCATCCCAGCGACCACATGTCCAAAGCATACTGCACAGGTGCTCCTACAGCCATTTCCGGGGCGCTGCACATACACAATGTCAACAATTTACTGATTTTATCACAATGCTTTGATTTTATATAGCACTTTCACATGGCAAACCTTTCAAAAACATACAATAACAACAAAGACATCAGAGCAATAAAGGGTGGATGTCCAATGTCCACATGTTTTTAAATGTTCCTTAATCTACATGTCATAGATCAACACTTATCTTACATCAAAAGAAAATGTAAGACACAATGAGGGAAGATCCACTCCCATGGACAAAATGACTCTAGATAAGACATGGGCAAACTTTTCCTCCTGAGGGCCACATTGGAAATTAGGTCCGGATCCCGACAGCCGTCTGATATTCCAATGTTTTCTCAGGCTTCATTTTAAAACATTTAGACATTTATTTAAAGAGGAATAACCCCATGAGATGCATCATCTCGTTTTCGTGGGGGTCCTCTATATACAGGTTACAGCGTAGTCATTTGATGCACAACAACATCAAAAGAAACAAAATGACAAAAATAAAATAAAACGGAATACAAACACAAATGCACACACACACATCACACCGCTCTCATGTACCCCCCTCCACTACCAATACATTACAGATACCATTACAATCTTTTGAAAGCATGTTCAAGAAGTACATTTACAAACATACATTTAGAGTTAAATCACACGTGAGTAAAAGGTAAACATTTCTCCTGCACACAAACCAATAATTAAACCATTATATTCAGGCAAATATAGAAAAGCATTAGATACGTTGAAAACTATCCAACGAGAAAAGAAAAAAAAAATAATAATAATAAAATAAAAAAATAAAAAAAGAATAATAAATAAGATAAGCCACAAAGATTTTACCGAAGCCCTTCGTTTGAAGTTGTCCCACTCATTACAAACTGTAGCTACAAACACAAACAAATATTTTGAAAGTGTGCGAAAGTGGCTCTTCTAAACATAAATGTATTGTTTATATGAACAAAATAGCTCTGCACACAGCACAGAGAGGGGGTGTTTAAACTGAAACTACCCCACTGTGGGATGAATAAATGTTCTTAATCCTAATCTCTCTTGATCTTAATCTTAATCTGTATAAATTGAGGAGAGTCCAGGGGCCTGATAGAAGCATCCAATGGGCCGCATCTGGCCCACGGGCCGGTGTTTGCCCACCACTGCGTCTAGCTACATGACTGTACAACGAGGATTGAGATCACATGGTGTAGGACTCGAATTACATGTCTGTTAATGTTCCTTCTTTGTCCCTTTGACTGTCTGTCCCTCTTGTGTCCATGTCCCTGTGCTCTACTGTCCCTCACATACCTGTAGCAAAGTGTCCCGAAAAAACTGCCCTGCTTCGCGAGACATGCAGGACGAGCCACTCCAAAGTCTACAATTTTGACCTGGAAGGATCCTTACACAATCCACCAACATTATGTTGTCCGGCTTCAAGTCTCCGTGGATCAACTTTACGCTCTTTAAAAACTTCAAAGCCTCGGCCATCTGCAAAGTAAAGTGCTGAGTTTGAAAGCAATCATAATAAAGACTACATTTCTCTAAGTAAAGTGTGCATACTATACCTGTGTGAGGATTGGCCGGATGCGGTGAAGCGGCAGAGTCGAGGACGTTTTCAAAAAGTCTCCCAGACTAATATCCAGCACCTCATACTCGTGGCAGACGTGGCCGTTAAAATTGAAGCTGCAGAACCACTGGACGATGTGGTGGGACGCAGATCCAAATTTACTCAGGTATTTCATTAAAGGACCCTGTAGGGGGTGCACATGGAGAACCATTACCAATAGTTAGCATTATTCATTCCCCAACCGGGGATGAAAGTCTCAATATCCGTTCAGCGATTTTGAGACTATAGTGAGTCTGAACCACTGGGACAAGGGGGGAAGGCCTTAGCAAGTCCCGGCGCCCAATCAACATGTGTTTCACCGTCTTACCTCACGATCAGGATTCTTCACCACCTTCAGTGCCACTTTCTGGTCAGCGTTGTTTTTGTGACAGAGGGCGACCGTGCCGTAAGAGCCTGAGCCCAGGATCTTCTGCACCTGATAGGAATTGGACCCTGAGGGGACGCTGCCCTTGGCCTTCACTAGGTCCTGAAACCACTCTTATGGAGAGAAGCAGACGATGCACAGAGAAAAATATCTGTGGAAAATAACATGGTTCAAAAGTGTGATGGGAAATGTGAAGTTTAAGAAAAAAATTGTATTATTCGAGGTTCATTTTAGCCCTAATTCTTTGAGAATATTGTAACAATTATGTATTTTCAGCTGCTGTACACCTGAATTTCTCCGAACGGATATCAATAAATTATCTATCCATCTATCTATCATTTCCAAAGCATTTGATGTTTAAGAACGTGAGGTCTGTGATGTCTTCAGGACACATGTGGACAGTGGCCTGAGTTGTTTTGGAGATATGTTTAGTCAATATCTGGATGATAATCTGTGTTTTGAAAAGTGATCACATACAGTAAAACTGGTTAGCTCGAGTTGTGATTTTGTGAGACTCTTCTTTGCCAAAAATGGGGCTTATTATCAATCCCTTTTGCTGTGCATGTGACGTCACTGAAATCCATCTGTGTATTGTTAATAAGGACTAGTGTGGACAGCCCAACTCCAAGCCACAGTATAAGGGGTTCTTGCGTACAGTAAGTGTGCCTCGACCACTATACAGACCATATCTACATTTGGAATATGGCCAGTGGACCCAATCAGACTAGTGACCTCAAGGTGACTCTAAAATGTTGGGGATAATATATTCTAACTTAACCAAATGGACTGTTTCAACCTAAACTCAGGCCTAACCTCAACCTGATTGTGACTCTACAAAAAAAAAAGAAACACAACCTGAAGATGTCACTCTGCTCTGGAGTCATAATCGTCAAAGTCTAAGTTTAACAGTCTGAAAACCCCAATTCTGTGTGAGTCTCACCTGATGCAGACGTTTCGACTGAGTTCTGGACGAACTGAGATCCAAAAAAGCACAAGACGAACCGAAATTTGCTGAGAAAACAGAGACACGTGTTCCCGCTTCAACCGACAATACAATAATGAATGTATTTGTGTTCCTGACCTAAGTTCCCAAAGTTGGGTCACCGTGGAGATGTGCCGCTGTTCTATAGAACCATGACATCACCTCAAGCCATTACATCATTACACCTGTGTTTTAATATGGCCCAAATTATGGTTTTTAGCATCTTGTTTAAAGTCTTTTTGAGTACTAAAGACATTTAAAAGTTTGAAGTGACTAAAATGGGGCTCATTTCTCATCATACTGAATTAAAAGAAAAGAGGTGTTTTTACCACAAGCAGTTCATTACAACATGCATATTGTCTGAATTATTCTATTTAGACGCTGTGAGAATATTGAATCAATATAATTATAAATAACAAACAAAAGTGCTGCCATTATGGCCATAATACGTTCAAAGTGCTAAAATGACTTGTGACTTATTTCACACATTGTTAAGACATGGATATCACACTTAAGGGACTCCCTGTTAAACCACATTCACATGGGACTGTTTGGAAGCGTTGCATGGATTTAGTAGTACTTTATTTGTGGTAACACTTTATAATTACTACACCTTATTTAGGCTTAATAAATGTTTAAATAACACTTAATTAATCATGAAAAATTCATTAATTAAGTGTGACCAACACTTAATAACTACTTAACTACTACAGTTAATAAATGCTTAACTCATAACGAATACATCTTCAAGTACTTAATTTGTTCATTATTATTTAATAATTAGATAAGTATGAAGGAACCATTCATTACTAAATATATAGATGGTTTGTTACACCATGATTAAACCATATGTTAATGATTAATAATTGTATACTTGATTATAAACTAAAACTGCAGTGCATGATTTATTCAGTCAGATTCTAACAGTTAGTTAAGGATGACTAACGTTTTTGTATAACAATAATAAGCCATGAGACATGAATACAGAATATATATTTATCTTTTAAATTGCTTTACAAAGCTATAACAGGCCCATAACAATGACAAATAAATAAAAGTCCTCATACACATATAAACACGAACAGGAGGAGCATCATCTTCGAACAGATGAACATAAAATGGCATATACTAGGGCTGGGCGATATGGCTGAAAACTAGGGCTGGGCGATATGGGCAAGAATAAACATCTCAATATTTTTTTCCCAACTCCTGATAACAATATTGTCACAATATCTTTCAAATCAATAATTTTTACACACAAAAATCTGTTATGTTTTGCTGGGAAAGCAAAAGGCCCTAATCCCAGTTGGGATTAAAATTAAAAACATGGAGAGGATAGAAACCATGAACATTATAACATTATATACAATACAGAGAACACACGGTTAATCAAAAGACACATTTACGCTATATCCAAAAACATGTGAAACTCAGATGTATAGGATCTGTGTGGGCAGAGGTGCCACTCTTTGCACCGTCAAGGAGAAGCCACAGCTGACCTGGGGCAGACTGCCTGAGGCGCAACCTAACCCAGTCACAAAATAGCAATAACAGCAATAACATTAACAATGCAATTATTAACATTGAATACATTACATTAATGTGTCAATACAGCTTGAACTTTTGCAATTTTCTTCATGTCATAACCACAAAGATTTTTTTTTGGATTTGGAAGACTATACAACAAAGTACTAGCACTAGAATATACAGTATTTTATGCTCCTGATTATGCTAAAGTCGATTTCTTTCATTATTAGGCTAAAGATTACGTGCTGATTCTTTTTATGCTATATAGTAACAGATGTGTTATTCATTTATCTTATTTATCTCATACTTTGTGCTTGCTCATTACCACTGTTCTGTAGCATGTGATGCAACACTGAAATTTCCCCACCGTGGGACGAATAAAGGATCTCTTAAACTTAATCTAGTAACCGACAACTATGAAGAAACTTTGAAAGCAAAATGATACATAATAATGTCATTTTCACATCTTGCCAAACAAATTCAATCGTGTGTAATCTACTCTCGATATAATCACAGCTGTTCTGTGAGGGCCTCAGAGTGTATTGGTCACTAAACAACATCATGAAGGCTACGGAGCTCACAGAGAGGTCAGGGATAGGGTTGAGAAGATTCAATCATGGTCAGGTCATACAAACACTTGCCATGGGCGGTGGTTAGCACTCTCGCTTCTCTGCAAGAAGGTCCTGGGTTCGAATCCCGGTCAGAGCAGGGCCATTCTGAGTGGAGTTTGCCTGTGTTTGGGCTCCCGTTTCCCCAACCACTAAAAACCTTCACAATAGGTATAAATGTAATGAGTGAGTGAATGGATGGTGTTGGTCAGAGGGTTGAATGCACCGGTGAGTTTGGCGTCTCACTTCCGTCATCACCGTGTGTGGAGTGATTGTAACAATATCTGAACTCTGAACATTGTTTGGGTCTGTAAAATGATCTTTATAAACAAACATGACTTACTTACTTCCCAAACGTCTCACAGCGCACTGTTTAATCCATCTTCTGAAAAAGAGTAGGGCACAACTGCAAATCTACCAAGACTCGTCTGACAAAGACAAAACAAAGATGCAGTCAAAAGGCCCCTGGTTACGTAGCAGACATACACACCTCACCTGGGGGAATCTGAACATGGGCAAATATACATTATACAGCACACACATCTGGCCTTTATGGAGTAAGTGGCAATTATAAAGTCAGTTTTAAGCGAGAGTGGCATTATCAGGTATATAACAATCATAGTGTTGGCACGGCAACCATAATTATGTATTTGTGAATTGAAAAGATAATTTCTAAGGTATACTAGTTTGTTTATGTGTAGAGCTTAATTTTAACTTTATCTGTTTGTTTTTTTGCCACACAGTATGTTGCTAGAGTCACTGTAAACTATAATTTCCCTATATTTATGAATAGATTTTTGTCTCAAGTGTTTAAATCAACATCATTATTTGCCCTATACTTCAAACTGTGCTTTCACGATGCAGTAAAAAAGAGAAAATAACTTAAATCAAGTCGTGTTTAGCCTCTGATCTCCACTTCCAGCAGTGCAGTCTGTCCGACAGCTAACACAGAGAGGGGCCTTCTCCTCCACTGTCACACTCTCTTATCTGCACTCACCTGTCCCCTTATCGGCCCCGGAGGACAGCACAGGGGCCCGGGGAAGTGAGGAGGCGTGAGGGCACCACACAGGACACAGCTCCAGCACTGAAGGCAGGACAGGACAGGGTGAGAGGGGGGTGGGATAAGGGGTGAGTCTTGTTTTTGTCTTTACCCTGTCCTTCCTGATGGTGGAGAGGAAAGGTTCTCTGGGCGCTGGAAGGATGCTGCTGTGTCCTGTACTTGAGATATAGTGATCGTAAAGGTTCATTCCCATTGAGCAATAACACTTTTTTTTACCCAAAAACCCTGTGTCGCCTCTTCCTATCACACAGAGAGAAACAGGCAGGCGTGTCAAAACAACTCTAAGATGAAGGTTAAAAACTACACTCAAGTCAGACAAGGGACAATACTTTGAAAAATGACAGCGTAACAAGAGTGAAGCTCAACATATGGGCTGTGGTTTCCTTTATAAAGTTGTCCTTGTAAACGTTTTTTTGAAAATATTTATATTGATTCATGTTGATGTTCAACTTGTGGTAGTCTGTTATATGGTGACTCCCACTGGTTGTGGGAGCACTTTAAGTGTAATTTTGGTTGGAAATGTATGTACTCCTGGTGTAAGGTATTATAAAAATGAACCAATGTGTTGATAGTTTGACAAGATCATCTTCAGGATTCTGGTCAGGATGTGAGTCTGAAAATGATCCATTGGGCTGTGATTATGGGGCGTGTTACAAATGAACCCCCTTTTCTTTTCTGGTTCTTGTTTATTGTTTTGGCTCTATTGGACAGTCCAGCAACCGGAGCAACGTGATAAATACAGTTCCCACACTCATTCATTTCAGTGTAATTTACCTCTGATTAAAACATCTTGGTCATTTTAGCTGATATGAAGCTGGAAGCTTGAATCTCAGTCAGACTCGATGTTGTGCAGTGTTCCCTCTACATGCAAAATGCCAATGGGGTCTCTGTCATGTGCAAAATAAAAATCAAGCCTGATGTGATAAGCAAAGATGTATTTATGGCTAATCAATGTGATTGACAGACAAGAAAAAGTCATAGATGAAAGCGGCTAGTGTCGTTTGAGACAATGTTATTTCTCTACTTTTGTTACTGTTACTAATCTGCCAATTATCACCTAAAGGCCTACTTTTGAATGCGCTGGAAAACAGCTGCAAGTCCTAAGTAGCTCTGAAACAGTTGTTGTTTTGTGCTTGAGAATTTTTATTTTTATTGCTTTTTTCTGCCTGAGATGTTGCTGCAGTACAGTGTTCATGGTTTTGCACTGGTCCAGACCAGAGCAGAGAGGATTCATGGTCTGAACCAAGCGGATCAGCCAAAAATCCACTGGAGGAATGCTAACTTTTTAAAATATGCTAATGAAGCATTTAGCATTTTACTTTGGACTAGCAGAGAAAATGATCCGAACCAAGCGGCTACTCCACCTCTGCTGCTGTGACCTAAAGGGCTGTTGCTGATTATTGCTAATGTTGGCTTTTTAGAATTATCAGTTTAACTATTTTTTTTTTTGCTGCTACTGGACACCTGAATTTCTCTTATGGGGATCAATAAAGTATCTATCTATCTATCTGACATTTTAATTGGTGCGGTGAGATTTTGTGCAGTCAGTGCCCGACCGAACTTCCCGCTGGAAAACGATGTAAGCTGGGCTAAAGTTCGGCTGTACCAGGCTGAAAATGACCGCTCTCCAGGACCCTCTGATTGGCTGCCTCGCTGACCACAGAGCCATCCATAAACGCACCTCTCCCTCACCTTTTAGTGCTAACAAGTACTCTGGCAGTTAATGAAATTTGCCTCTCCGGCCTCAAATGTGTGCGATTCGTCTTCCTGTCCCCTCTCCCACGCCTCACCCCTGTGCGCTCAGCTCTTAATAACACCTCGGACCGCGGGCTCCATCCATCCCTGCGCTGCACATACACTTAATTTGTGCAAAAACAATATCCATGAGGAAAAACCAGAAGAGTTTAATGTCTTCATTGGAGCAGATTGGGATGCACTGCTTAAAAAGGCAGAAAAACAACATCTTTGCAACTCTGGCTCTGACATAACAGAGGGGACCGATTCAACACAGAGCAATGTGGGAGGGGATCTCTGATTGTATCTTGAATGTTGCTGAAAACAGCTTCAGTTGTGTATATGACGTGGGAAACAGTTACTGCTGTTGCAACTTTACTTAGAGTGGAATACATTTTCAAAAGGTGAAAAAAATGTCCGTACTCATTCCCTATATCCTGACAGAAGCTCTCTCCATTGTAGTAGTGTGAACCCATCCATCCATTTTCTTTATCCGTTGCCTGAGAGACATATAGTCCCTCCAGTGTTGTGGGTCTTCCCTCGGCCTCCTCCTGGTTGGACGTGCCTGGAACATCTGCATGGGAAGCATCAAACATAGACGACTGAGCAACCTCAACCGGCTCCTCTCGATGTGGAGAAGCAGTGGCTCTGTTCTGAGTTCCTCCTGTGTGGACCTCAGAACTCGTGTGATCCGCTTGTGTCTTCAATCTAGTTCTTGCTGTCATGTAGTAGTAGTCATTTTTTATTTTGTTCATACTTTTGAATGAGCTGTAAACCGCAGCCAGTCCTAAGCAGCTCTGAAACAGTTTTTTTGTGCTCTACGTAGGTTTCCTCCTGGTGCTCCAGTTTCCCCTACAACGAAAATTATGTTCGATATTTGTCCAGTTTGGCATGCGCCTCTGTTACAGGCGACCTCACTCTCATCTCTGTGTGGAGCGAGAGACAAATGCCTACAATTGTAAACCGCTTTGTGACTCTGCTCTGTGAAAGGCGCTATACTGTATAAATAAAAAATAATGTCTACTTACTTTGCAATTGTTATTTTTCTCGCTTTTTCTACTTCTACTTCTACTACTAAATGTTACTGCAGTATATTGTTCATAGTTTAACACTGATCCAGACCAAGCCAGAGAAGGTCGTCGGTCCGAGCCCACTGCAAGACCTTCTCCACCAACTCCACTGATGTCTGCTGTCGTTGTGTCCTTGGGCAAGACACTTTACCCACTTTGTCTTTAAGGAGCGCGGAATTAATGTTCACTACATGCCTGCATTCGTCCCCACTGTTGGACGAATAAAAGATCTACAGATGAGTGCTGTTGCATTTTATTGCTTTTGTTATCTGCTTTTAGAATTATGTTCTGTTGATTTGTCCCCATTTCAAACTCATTACACTACGGTGTTCGAGACAGAGCTGTTCTCTGCCTTTAAAACCAAATATTTGCCTCCAAATTAGTCTGAAAGATGTCTCCAGTCAAGGGTTTACGACTGTGTGCATTTAATTTGATGTTTATTGAAATAGATAATAATCTTTTACCACTTTACATGTTTTATCTTATTTTGAAGCTCATCGAGTTGAGTTGGAGCCAAAGTTTCAGCCTTGTTTCCAAACATTTTATTTCTGTTTATTTTGTGTCTTGTTTATTGTTTATAGTATCCTTTTGAATAACATTTCAAATAGAATTCCTACTACTACGACTAGAACATGTATTTTGCTCTAAACACTGACATTTAACAAAATGATAACCTGTTGGACACACGTGCGGCCCCCACCGTTTGTCGTTACCCTTTTTGTGGCCCTGCACGGATATCTAAAGGGCGATCTAGTATGTTTTTTAAATTAAATCTTTATTTGGAAATCTCTTATTTCCTTTATTAATCCTGTTATGGGTCAGAGGATGGCAATCTGATGCCATCCAATCCTCATAACAGCGGCCCCTCCTGATCCTCCTGCAGGTGGTTAGTACACGAGAGAATGGCTGCTCCATCAACGACTACATAACCCCCACTTTGCTGTAAAGACCAACGCTAGGTGTCTTGCCCAGAGACACAACGACAGCAGCTGCAATGGAAAGATGGATTAAGGGGGATAGAACCCAAAACCATTAGTCCCAAAAACCAATGCTCTACCAACTGCGACACTGTCGCCCCGAACCAAATATCAAGCAAGGAATTTAAAAATTGCATTACACAGACACAATACAAATCATTATATTTACATAAGATTCATACAGATCAGGAATAAAATAAAAGTAGGGAGGGAAAGGGGATCCTAATCTGGTTGAATACATTTTGGAGTATAGTGTGTGTGGGCGTCCAAGCGTGTGTGCACGTGTAGATCACTGTTATTGCTGGATTTTGTCATGTGTCATTTTTTGTTAAACATTTGTTTATTGATGACAGTAACAGTGTGAGGGCTTTGTTTTTATTTCTAGTATACTTGTATGACATTTGCATGTCTTTTGCTTAAGATATCATGGCACTTACCCAGTAAGAGTAAATATTCTGGAGATCAGGGAGGGCCAAATGGTGCACACATACACATCATATTTGCTCTTTAAATCCCTCACTCTCCTCTCTGTAATGCAAAGCGTCCGGCTTGAGCTCGCACAACATTAGCTTAGGCTGCGGCGCGCCCATCGATCAGTGGTCTTAAGTTTATCTGATTTTTATCACCGGAGCCGACAGGGGGGCAGGTCGATGCTCCGTGCCCGCATCAAGTTGACCTTTTCAACGGCAGGACCCCCGAGGACCCCGCCGCGGCCCCGTCGGCGCCTGAGTGGCACGAGTCTGTCGCGCTCAAACGACAAAGTGTGCGGAGACGTCTATATCCGCGGCACGCGCTGGTGACAGGGCCCGGCTGCTGTATTTACGAACTGTCCTGTGGCTGTGACACTTTGCCGATGGATGGGGCTAATTTATGCGCGTGAATCTCGGCGGTGCAAAAATGAAAGCTAATAGAGTCATTAGGCGTCGGTTCAGAGCCGGGATCCCGTGTATAAATTGGCTTATGTTGTAAAGCCCTCCCCTGGCGCAAAGGATCGCCTCGGAGCTCTCTGGGAAGACGAGAGTTCAAGCATGATGCAGATCAAAGGATGTTTCTATGTTGTTTTTATGTGGATCTAAGCTAAATATATCATTATGTTTTTCTCTGCAGCACTTTGGAAACAGTTTGGTTACCAAATATCTCTTTAGCTGCTGCTGTCTGCTAAATGGATATTGTGTGTACTTGAGATGGAGAAATCCTTTATTGGTCCCACAGTGGGGAAATATCAGTGTTGCATCAGCAGTTACAGAAGAGTAGAAATGAGGAGAACACAACACAAGTAACTTTAGCATTATAAATAAGTGTAAGATTCTAGTGCAAAAAATATATAGTTGTATGTATGTATGTATAAGTCTGTACATGTTAGCCACATCGGGGTCAGGGTTGTGTCGCTAACATGACCCATATCCCACATGTGTCCTCTGTTTAGTGACGGTGGACACATGTGGTTCTATATTGCACATTGTTTAAAATTATTGCACAGATGCACGACTTGTGAGGTCAGGTCGGCGGAGTTCATAAGTCCTGATTGTTCCTTCCACAGTCTGACAGCAGCAGGAAGGAAACTGGTCTTCACAAAATAGACATGGGACAAATGCAAGACATAAGTTCTCAAGTGAGCAGGTCACGCCGACTTCTGTGCTTCTGTTGTTTGGACGAGGTGACAAGTCTGTGGGTTGGCGTCTTTTGCTGCGATGCAGATTGTCATATAAAATGCTTCCCCAGTCTCCATTCTGTCTGAGAGAACTCTGAAAAAACTCTGGAGAAACTCTGAAAGTACACTGAAAAAACTGAATACTTTTAAACTGATCATTTGAGTGTTTCTTTCTTTCCTGCCAACGAAATGTGCATAAAGACAACGCAGTTATTACATGATCATGAACCAGATGTGACATTCTGAATACAAACACTGAATAACACAACAAAAATCCAACAAGTTATGGCTCGATGAAAGAGACTATTCCTGAAACGTAAAAGCCTAAATCAGTTTAATCAATTTCTCCTGTCTATTGAATTCTTTTCAATGTATTTTTGTATGGCCAATATCACAACAGTAGTTTTCCTCGGTAAAAAAATTGTTGATTCGCCAACACAAATCAGGGAATCAAACAGTTCAAACACAAAAAATGCAATGATAAAAAACGCATAGAGCCATTGGACCATAAATGTCCGATGACTAATGTCCATAAATGTCCTGGATCCTCACCACTGTCCTTAGAGACCCTCCTGCATTGACAAGGAACAAAACAAAGCCTGTATGTAACGTAATGCCTCTGTGTGCATAACTATATGAATATAACTATTTCCCCCCCTCGCCACCTCCCGTGCCTCACATTGGAGATCATTGAGCATCCATCAGGAGCCGTTAAGCCGCAGCCCGTGAGGATATGAAAGCGACCGTCGCTGATCAATGCTCATAAACATTTCATGTCATAATCAGCAGAAAAGCGTGAGGCCGGCTGCTGCGCTGCTGGGAACGCCTTGCTACATTAAGCCGTGTTTATTGTATCGTTCTGGGAGTTAGGTCAGTCTGCAGACTCCGAGCAGCACTCTCAGGGCTGCACTGAGAAGACCAGGGTTTGTTGCTTTCACCTTCCAGTTCGATTAAACATTTTCAGCACTTTTCCTCCAATTAATCCTCATAGTTTTGAGTTTTATGGATGTAATAATAAATAATGTTGTCATGTAGCTACTATAACTTGATGGAGTAGTTTAAAAGATTTATATATGCTGAAAGATTTGTATATGCTTGTGAAAAAAGCCATACCTTTTGTTAATTCTATGAAGTAATCATTTAATAGGGAGAACATAGGGCCACTGAACAGCAGCTCTGGGGACATAGGCTGATCCAAGAGCGGACGCTCCTGTGCAGCTCCAGGCGTGCAGAAATATATA